TAGCGGTGATGAGAGATAAGGACCAGCGAGCGGGGAGGGGGGCGCGGACACCCTTGCCGGCGTTCGGAAGGATGGTCCGACGTGCGTTTTCCATTCTCTGCTTCCAGAGAAACACCCAATGAGCAGACAGGCCTTGACGCAGCGTTTGAGCTCTTTTCTGAAATCAGAGCGCGCACAGCACCGCGGGCGCGCCAGCCCCCGCCCCGCCACAGACGCGCTGGCCTGCACTTGCTCTCCCGAGTGTGGCCACAGACCTTCCCGCTGGACCAGAGGAAGCCCGCGGTGACGGATGGGCCGGGCCCGGCGCTGCCGCCTCCCTCCCCCGTGCCCCGCTCTGTCCACCGGCCTTTCTCTGTCCAGCCATCTGCCAAGAGGAAATAACTCTGCTGTGCTGGGAGTCTGGGGATCCCAGAAAACAATCTCAAATCCACAAAAACAACCGAAGTTCGCTTCTACGGCACAGCTCCATTCTGATTTTTACTACAATGTCAACAAGAGTTTGATTTGTGTTGAAGTTTAGGTTCTTAAATCTGAGTGATATACAGTAATTTACAGCTTGCTGGCAACAGCTACTGTGGAAAAAAACGGAAAGTGCATATAAAGGCAATTCTAAGTTTGACATTGTGAAGACGGGGAGCGATGCCAAAAGCCGCGGCCTGTATGGCTTTCCCCCCAGGGCATGGCAGCCATGCTGTGGGCCAGGGGCACACTCCCCGTCACCAGCCTGGTCGGGGGACGGCAAGTGAGAGGAAATGTCCTAAAATGTAATTTCTCGAGCGAAATGCTCTCGGATGTCAGCCAGGTCACACGTGGCACCACCGTCTCATCTGGGGTCTCTTGTGGAAAGCAGGTCCTGCAAAATGCCCTGAGTAGGGCCGCTGGGGAAGAAAGGCGCTGCCCCACCCCTGAGGTCGTGCCTCTCAGCTGCCCAGAGGGTGTGGATGCGGACGGTGGGCTGAGACGCTCCCCGGTGTCCAGGCTCGCTGTCGCTGGGCTGGAGCCCCAGTAGAACTGTCCGCACAGACACACAGGACTGCACACCGGCAAACTAGCCCGTTTGATGGGCACAGAAGAGGACGGACCAGGCTGTCCCCAAGGACTGACTTTTAAACCCCCGCCTGTGGGCCCCACCTCGGCTCTGGGTCCTGCTGCCTGCTCTGTGTGACCAGACAAGGCTCCAGGGGCCGGCAGAGCTCCCCCACGCCTGCGGCACCTGCCCCTTCCTCTTGCCGCCAGCTCGGGTTGGAGCCAGACCTCGGGCGAATCACAGGCAGGTTTCTGGGTGTTGCTGAGGCCCTGAGCTGCCGCTGTCCTCCAGCCGGCTTCCTGCCCTATCTACAGTCACAGCAGCTGTGGGGCCTGATAGGGCCGGTCCCAGGGAAGCCTGCACCCTTGGGTGGGAGAGAGGACGGCCGGGACTGATAAGGCCGCCTCAGGCCCCCGGGCCCGATGACCACATCCTGCGCTGTCTGCCTGCTTCCGAACAAAAGAGAGCCGGCCGTGGGCTCTGGGAGCGATAGCGCTGGGAGGGGAGTGGTCTGGCTGACTGGCCTATTGTGCAGAGTATCAGGCTCTGATTAGCGGGGGTCCCCTGGGCCCGATAAGGGCGGATGCGTCAGAAAGGAATAGACCCGCTTTGTTCTTTACTGTGTGCCGGCGTCCAGGCTGTAATCTGGAAGGAAGGGGCCTGCTTTAAAATTCAAGGTGAAAATCAAGGCAAAGGGACTCACAGCTCCACGCGCCCGACCGAGAACCCACATCGCTCGTGGCCAGAAAACGTGGCCCTCACCATGTGGCCAGAGGCGGAGGAGCTCCTGCTACACTGTCCGCGTCTCCCACGCAGTCCTTAATTCAGCCAAACAGGAGATAACGCAGAAGCGCACGTATTTTCGTTCCCGCAGAGCAAGTCTGCCTTCGGCATCGCGTCCGTGCCACAGAAAAACAGGACTTTGCTCCTCATGCTGCTTGGAGAAGGGGTCCAGGGGCTGTACATGTGGCACAGGGGACACCTGGCGGGACACACATGAGCCTCGCACCTGAGCAGCGGGGTCTCTCCTCCTGCGCCGAGTGATTAGCCCCGGACGCTTGTGAAGGGAAGCCCCTTGAGCTACAGCAAAGATGCAGACGACCCCTCCCAGGGGACAGTCCCACGCCAGGGCACTGCTGCCTCCTGAGGTCGGGTTCTCGGGACGCTTTCACGTATGGGGGGCGAGTGGCTTGTGTCTGGCTACTCTGACTCCGCCTCAGTGTCCGAGGTCTGTCCCCCGCACAGTGTGGCCAGCACCGCTCTCCTCCTTTTGGCGGAGTGACGTGCCCTCGTGTGCTTGTGACGCCTCTCCTGTCTGTGTGCGGCCTTCGTGTGGACGTGGGTGTGGACTTCTTGTGGGCCGACACCTAAGAGTGGAACGGACGGGTCACACGACGACGTCACGCCCTCCGAAGACACCACCATGTGGCCGTGGCACCCAACGTGTCCACTGGTGACGGCGGGGCTCCTGTCCTCCCCACCTTCTCGCAAGGTGCTCCCGTCCCTTCTGCCGCCTGCGGCCGCTCGGACAGGCGGTGGAGCTCTCCACTGCTGTCACAGCTGCCTTCCCCACGACTGATGCTGCAGAGCCCGCTTCTGTGTGTTTACGAACACACACATCTTGGAGAAATGTTTACATCTTAAGCCTGGTTTTTGACTAGGTTGTCTTCTTAGCATTGAGATAAAAGTTTTTGGTATATGCTGGATATAAGCCCCATATCAGACCTGTACTTTGAAAATATATTCTTTTAGTTCATATATCCTTTTATGCATCTTCTCACTATCATAACAGTTCTTTCAAAGCAGGAAAAATGTGAATTTTGATGGGGTCTCGTTTGCCAGTGTTTTGATATTGGACTATGTTTTTGGCATCATACCTAAAAGATCTTTGCCTAATCTAAGGTCTGGAAGATATTTCTCACATGCTATCCGTTGCATGTTTTACTGTTTTAGCCTTCACATTTAATTCTATGACCAATTTTGAGAATTTTGTGTACTGTGTGGGGTTAAAGGTGCAAGTTCATTCTCCTTGCAGACACGAGCTGTTACGTCCTCATTTGTTAAAAGGATATTCTTTGCCCTGGTTAAATGGCTCGGCAATTTTGTTAAAAATCAATTTACCATAAATAGAAGGATTTCTGAACTCCAGATTCTGTCCATCGATCTAGATGTCTTCTGCTAATACGACACTGTCTTGATTACGGTAGATTTATAGTAAGTCTTAAATCGGGAAGTATGTCTTCCTGCTCTGTTCACTGTTTCCAAAATTGTTCTGGCCACTCTGGGAACCTTTGAAATCCCATATGAATTTTAGGATCATTTTACCATTTGTCATGTTCCTGAAAAATACAAACCCCAAAAACCTGCTTGAATTTTGATAGGGATTGCATCGATTCTATCCATTAATTCCATTGTGATCAGAATTGATTCTTTAAAATGTATTCAGGCTTGTTCTAGGACCTACTAGAAAGTCTGGCCTGGAGAAGGTTCCACAACCACCGCATTCTGTGGAGTGTTTCACACATGGCTTCCAGGTCTGTCCAGCTGCCTGACAGTGCCGTTCAACGGTTATATTCTTGTTGGCTTGACATCTAGATGTTGTATCCGTTACTGACAGTTTGTAGCGAGATCTCCAGATACCATTTTTTTGACTGTCTTTCAGTTTACCCCTTCAAATCCGGATATTTTTATTTCATGTATTACGTGGTTCTATCTTTTTAGGTGCAAAAATATTTGTAATTATTATGTCTGCCTGCTCTATTTACATTTTAGTCATTATAAAATATCCCTTTTTGTCTCCAGCAACACTTTCTTTGGTCTTAAATTGATTTTGTCTAGTATTAGTATCGATACTCCAGATCTCTTTTGTTCACTCTTTACCTTGTACAATTATCCATCCTTTTAATTTCAACTATTTGTGTCTTTAAATGTAAAGTAAGTCTTCTGTAGACAGTGTATAGTTGGATCTTAATTTGTTCGTTTTTCCCCTAATCTAGTCTGACAACCGCCACCTTTTTTTATTGGAGTGTTTGGTTCATTTACATTTAATGTAATTTTGTTGTAGGATTTTACATTTGCCATTTTGTTGTTTGTTTTCCGTGTCTTATGGGGTTTTGTTTGTTGTTTTGTTGTTTCTATCATCTTCCGTTATCGCCTTCTTCTGTGTTAAACAGATGTTCTAACATATCACTTAAATATGGATTTGGTGGGTTGGTTGGTTGGTTTTACTCTGTATATTTTTAAGTTAGTTTCTTTATGGTTCCTCTAGAGATTACAATACACATTTAACTTAAAAATTCTGTTTCAGCTAATTAATATTAACTGGCTTCTAATAACATATGGAAGTTTGTTTTACTACGGCTTCCTTCCCTACCCTTTCCTTTCTGCCGTTGCTACCACACCAACGACATCTTGATATAAACCCATCAAACATTTTTGTCATTTTTGTCTCGTGTATTTTCTTTCAAATGAGTTAGGAGGAAAAAGGAGTTTAAAAATATGTATTCTGTCTTTATCTACATAATTACTTTTTATCAATGCTTTTTACTTCTTTGTGTGGATCTGAGCAGCCAACAGCCAAGAGGACTCCTTTTAATACGGCTTGTGGGTCAGGTCTGCTGGCAAGAAAATTTCTGACCCAGCAATGGTTTTATTTCTCCTTCTTTTTTAAAGCTAGTTTTGCTAGATACGGGCTTCTTGATCAACAGGCTTTTTCTTTCTTTCAACAGTCTTTTTCTTTGCGGCCTCTGTGATTGCTAATGAGGTCAGCTGTTAATCCTACTGAAGGTGCCACATACCTGATGACTTGCTTTCCTCTTGCTGCTTTCAGGACTGTTTTTCCTTGACTTTCGACAGTCAATGACTATAATGTACTTAGATACGAATCTAAGGGTTTATTCTACTTGGAATTTGTTGATTTGGGGGGATGTGTACAATGTTTTTTTTAAACAAATTTGGGAAGATTTTAGCCAATATTTCTTCAGATAAGTTTTCTACCCCTTTCTCTCTCCTCTCTCTCTGCATTCCCAATATGCCTGTGTTTGCACGTTTTATGGTGTCCCACATGTTCAGTTTTATTCTCTTTCCTTTCTATTCCTCAGACTGGATAAGCTATAGACATTTCTTCAAGTTTGTTGATTCTTTTTCTCTGCCAACTCCAATCTGCTATTCAGCCCCTATAACAAATTCTTCATCAGTTATTGTACTTTGCAAGGCTAGAACGTCTATTTAGCCTTTTAAAAAACTTTTAATCTCATTATTGATATTCCCCATCTTGTGAGACATTGCTGTCCTACTTTCCTTTACTTCTTTAAACACACTTTCCTTTGGTTCTTTGAATGTATCTACAGCAGCTGATTTAAAGGCAGTCCTGCTAAGTCCCACACCTGAGCCCTCGCACGGACACGCGGTCTATGCCTTTGGGTTGTTTCTTCCTCTTCTACAGGGGACGTGTTTTCATCTTTCTTTGCATGTTTTATAATTTTTAAGTTGAAAACTAGACAGTACAGACGATAAATATTGTAGCAACTTTGGAATTAGACTCCTCCCCCAGTAGGGTTTGCTGTTATTGCTGGGTTGCTTTTTTTCTTCCCTTGATGCTGGATGTTTGATGAGTGACTTTTCTGGACTCATTCTGTAGGGGGTCCTGTGTTCTCTGTGGTGTGTGGCCACTAAGTCCTCTATTCCTCTTTTAAAAATCCTTGTTTTTATTTTTCAGTCTGGCTTCCCCAGGGTCATCCTCAAGGTGAGCAGGGCTAACGGTCAGTCAGCTATCCGTCAGGAGTTTTCTCTAAATGCCTTAAGTCTCCATCGTCTGTCAATGAGATCGAACTGCAGGCGAGCCACGAGTCAGCCCTAGCTCCCACTTCTGTTTTTGTGCAGGTCTCCAGGCCAGCCAGAGGTGACGGGCCTGGCCCTTTCTTTTCCCATGTCTTTCCTGAGCATGTGCACGTCCATATGCAGCCTCCCAACTCCCAGGAATGTGCTGGGGCTTTTCCAACCCCCCTGCAGGCACTGAGTGTGGCTAGGCGCCCATTTGCCCCAGCTGAGACCACAGCCTTGGCTACTCCCACAAGCAAGAGTCCAGCCGTCTGCTGTTTTGGTCATGGCCTGCGAAGACGACTTTTCCAGGGAGGTTCACCATCAGTCAGATACTGTTTGCACGTCGGGCAGGGTTTTCAACAGAGCCCCAAAAGAGGCCAGTCTCCTTCACTGTCAGCGAAGCTGCTGGCTTTCTACAGCTGCGCTCTGGGGGCTGGGGAAGGCGGATGGGAGTGGCCCCCGAGACCACTGCAGAACCCACTCTTCTTAGCAGGATCTAGTTTTTCTCGAATAAATGCTTTTCAGTTTGTTCTGCCTCTTTGGTGAATTTCCAGATTGTGAAATGATGGATTTGATAGATCTCAGTATTTCTGTTGCTTTTTTGGGGAGTGCTGACTCCCCGAGGTCCTCCCCCTCACACTCTAGAAGTCCTGCTTGTCTTCCTGTCCTTCTTGAGCCACCAGAAAGTGCCTCGGGTAATGACCAGGCGTTCTCTGACCAAGAAGAAAACCACGGCAGTCCTCTTCAGCTTGCAAGGCCAACTCATGCTTGAAAGCTGGACTTTGAAGCAGGAATCTTTGCGTATCACACGTCTAGAAGAGGAAGAAAGCCTCATAATAGAGCCGAAACTTGGGAGAGCAGAGAGACTGTTTAAGTCAGAGCTGGCAGATCCCCACGGTGCTTCTGGCCTGTCCCGTGTTTGGTGTGATTGTGAGCAGGTAAGCGAACACTTGTCTGCAAGCCCGTCTCCTCTGTCTGTGGGGTCCATGTCAGCAGTTCTGGACATGGGACTGTTCCAAGGTTGAAAATGTAAATTAAGAAGATATACGTAAAGTCACTTTGAAAAGCACCGGAGGCCACCCATGTAGTGCTGTGACTGGGACTCGGGATTTCTGTTTGTCAACAGGATGTGTCACGCCAGACTGGGAACGGCTCTCTCAGCTCTGACGGGAAGATAATTACTACAATTCCAAATCCCCACGTTCTGCTCTGCCTGGACTTGGTCGACATCTGTGAGCCAACGACCCGGTGCTCCTCAGGGATCCATAAGTAAGAATACAGTTTTGTATCAGGGAGATCACTTGAATGTGTCTGTGCCTAGCTGGCTCTGTGCCCGGAGCTCCAGGGGCAGGGGAGCCAAGTGCCTGGCTTGAGTTACAGGGCCCCAGCCGCCCTTGTGAAAACACAGTTGTCTGACAGCTGTGGGCAGAGCCCTCCACTGCCCTGGTCCCCACTCTCCCCAAAGAGGTATCTAGCTCGGACGATCTGGCACCCACTGTGCTTTCTGAATGTGGCCATTGTGTTTGCAAATACTGGGCCTTATGGCCTCATGCTCCGGTGACGAGACACAGCGGAGCTATTTGCTCACGGACCTGCAGGCGTCTGGGAGGAGCACTCCTTCGCGAGTAAGAAAGCCCTGCGAGCATCGGAGAAGGAGAAGGTGCAGAGCCCAGGCCAGTGACACTCCAGGCTACTCCGAGCTTGCCTGCGACCCAGGACAGAAACACGCGAGCACACATCCCGGTGCACAGCCCCGTGCGCACGTCCGGACGGCCGCTCTCAAGCCCTCTGCGCTCCTGCCACGGCGAGTGCCGCTCGGTCGTGAGCAGACCTGAGGGAGCCGGCGGTTTCAGGCTCTTCCTGCGGGTCCCTCTCTGACACCACCTCCTCGTCTCCGATTAATGCTCACGGGGAAGCAAGCTAATGCCTGTGACGGGGCGGGCACGGCCAGCTGACATCCGTGGAGAGCAACAGGGCTCACTGCCCGCCAAGGACCCAGAAAACACCTGGGCCACGTGACCAGAAACACAGCGCGGCCGGGAGCCCTTCCCGCGTGCGGCTGACATCCCCACAAGGCAAGACGGACAAGAGTGCCCAGAACAGACACCTCAGCTCCGGAGTCCTGGGAGCAGACGGCCCCTCCTCCCGCTCGCCCTGCTGCCCATCGGAAGGGACAGCAGGGGCTCTGATGTCACAGCCCCACAGCTTACGGGGCTGGGCGCTGGGGGCAGCACCAGGGTGTCTGCGCCCTACAGAGAGCCTAACCCACCGCCCTCCGGGAGCCGCGGCTGCCTCCCCCTTCTTCCCTCTCGGAGGACGGCCTCCTGAGCACTGCCCTCCTGGCCGTGCCGAGGACGCAGGCCTCCCGCAGGGTCTCCAGAGAAGCCGCTCACAGAGCCCGCGGCCCCTGTGCCCGCAGTGCTCTGTCCCCGGGGGCGTGCGGTGGGATTTTCATGCTGGAGACCCACACACAGACACGCCAGTGCGTGCAGGACAGGCCCTGATGAACTCCCGGTGTGGCTGCGTCCGTCCAGCCATCTCGCAGTAGCCACCATTGTAACATTAACGACTGCATACGTCTGGTCACCGTGACGCAGACTCTTCCCATGTCGTGAGGACTGGGGAAGGCCCCAGCCCTGGGCACCAGGCCAGGTCAGTAAAACTTCCCACGAGGAGAGATTGTGTTCTCTCCTGGAGCAGCCTGGGCTCAGGGACAAGGGGGAGCAGGCGGGGGACTCACGGCCCAGACTCGGGCAGACGCGATCCCGGCCGCCCGGTCCACCTGCTTGTCGCTCTAACGACACGGAGACTTCTGGAAACCTGAGCGCTCCTGGCAGGGCTGAAAGGGCTGCTTGTGGCACAGGCGACTGGGTGGGCGGGGCGGCCACGTGGCTAAAGCACGGACGGACCCATGGACGGACCCACGCCCGGCCCTCGAGTGCATCCCTCGAGAAGCCCCGAGGAGCTGTGACTCAGCAGCACAGCCGCCCCGTCCACGGGGTCCCCTCGCACGAAGCCCAGGACAGCCTGTGGCTCCAGAGGTGTCGAGAGCGCCTTCCCCGCAAACGCCGCGCATGAGCCCCTGCCCCGTGACACGTAATCGTGTGTGTGCACACGTGAACGGCCCACATTTGCACATCAGCGACTGAAAGGACGGCCTGTGGCGGCCGGGGCAGCATGGCTCGGGTCCACACACGGGCCACATAGAAATCACGGCAGCGAATCGCTCGCGTGCGGCTTTCACGGCCCGGTTCAAAAATCTACATTTAAAATAACACGAGGACCGTAAAACGACTCTTTTAAAAACGTACCCCCGTGGTTCTGCCACGACTGAGAAGTCTGAATTGAGAGCTTAAGTCTTGTGAGTGTTGCTGGACCAAAGAAAAAACTACAATTTGTTTATTTATGGACCAAACACTTTTGAAATGAAACCAGAGAGCAGACTCAACCAAGAAACAGACAAAACCCAAGAGAAAGCGGGGATTCGTTTTTCGGCGAGTCGCGTTGTGCCCACTCTGAAGAGCGAGACAGGTCTGGCAGGTGTGAACGCGGCTGCACACGACGGCTCGCGCGTCCGCACACCCCCACTCTCTGCCACCGCACGGAACACCCCATTCTCACTTTTCTCATTCTACGTTCCTGGAAAACAAAACCCCCAACGAAACCACCGGGAGCCCAAACGGCCGCCCCCGACTTCTGAACAGGGTCTTGCTCTGAAGAGCAGCCGTGGCCGCCGTTAGGCAAGTGGACGGGCTCCCGACAACGCTGCTGCCATGCAGGGAAAGGCCAGGGGGCACCTTCGTGCTCCCTGGCATCGAGCGTCTCACCACGGGGGTCCACCTGCACCGACCAGGTCCTGCGTCCCTCCCCATGGTGGCCGGAGAGCTGTGTGAGTCCCAGCGTGCAGCCTAAGCCCCTGGGCACCCGGGGGGGGAGAAGGCCTCACCACCCCCAGGTTGGCACGGGGCTGTGGTCCCGCTGCCCCACCACCGACTGGTCTTTCCGGGAATCGGGCACCGACCCCCAACGCAAAGCCGCCCCAGGCTCCCGCCCTGCCGGCTGAGCCGTGTGCGGAAAGCTTTCCCATCAAGGCCACTTTGCGTCCATGCCGTCTCACGTTCTAACAGGTTTTTGATACTGTTTCCATTTCCAGGCTGCAAATTCAGACCTGAGACACAAAGGGAAGACCCGTGCCCTGCAGTGGGTCCCAGCGCCCCCATCTCGTGCCACCAGCCACCACCGCCGCCTGCCATGGAACCTGAGACATGGCCTCACACGCCAGGAACTACCCTCCAAGCTCACCGATCACACTGAGCCCGACGGGTGAGGAGGACGGAAGAGGCTGAGGCACGGGACAGCAGAAGGGCTACGACTCCAGCAGGGGACGCATGCCCCGCTCCAGAAAGGCTCCTGCGGGGCCTGGGGGGGCGCACCTGGACAGCTCAGATACACAACCGCAGAGGGAGGCCCTCCAAGCCGCCCCTCCCCCACCCCACCCCAAACGGGTGGTTTGTGGATATTCTCCAGAAACGTCCTCTGTCCCCGAACAAGCAGAGGCTTTGACATTGCCCTGGTCTGGGAAGTTCACTTCCGAACCCTGATCACGCAGACCATTAAAACGGGGGCTGGCAAAGGACCACATCGTTGGTGCCAACTCAAGTCCTGCAGGGCTTCCGGAGCATCCCGAGGTCAGGCCACACGACCATGACACCTGTGAATCCCTCCCATCAGCCCCGTCGGGAGGGCACCAGTTACAGCCCAGCCCCAGCCCCCCGGGGTTCAGGTGGGAAGCTCGGGGCTCAGGGCCCTGCGTGCACGATGGACGCCTTTAGCCCGCACTGACCAGTCTTCGGGGACCGACTAACTCGGTGCAGGCCACATCCGCGTCAGCGCTCTGCCAGAGGCGGGGTTCCAGGGCGCCAGGGTCAGCGACAGTCCCCCGACCTCTCAGCAGGGAGCCCCTCTTGCTCCTCTGTGAGAAACAGCCAGGCCCAGTCTGCGTCCTGCCTGTGGACTCGGGGTCTCCAGCCGCGCAGACACGGCAACGAACGCCCCATCCGTTCTCCTGATGGCAGAGAGACGCCCGCCCGGCCCACGTGTATGTTCTAGTTGCGGGGAGAGAAGTCCCAGCGCCCACCAGTCTCCGCGGTCCCCTTCTGGGCATGGCCACACAGCCTCCGGGCCTGGGAAACGTACGGCAGGGAAGCCTGAGCCGGGGGAGGCTGTGTGCTCCCCACTGGCCTCCGTCAGCCTCAGGAAAGGCCGCTCGCGGGGGCACGCTGGCCATGTCCACCACATCAGCTCCAGAAGGACGCACGAGGGACATAGGACAGCCACTCCTGTAAGGGGTCCATGGCCAGCATGTGCTCCCCGGCCGCTCGGGGCTCTAGCTGGGCTCCCCAGAGCGGCACTGGAACAGTGCGTGGGTGTGCATGTGGGAAAACGTGCGCACATCCACAGAGACCCGTCGTCTGCCTCCCACGGGGCCTCCTGCTGCGCCACCCTGACCACAGCCTGAGTTCTGACCAAAAAATAAAAATAACGAATGAAGAACAACAAACGTCTTGTAAATGCTGTTGTCAGCTACAGCGGAAAACCTTCCTTCACACCTGGCCTGGGATAACGGGGCCCATATTTCCAGCCCCAGAGGCAGAGAGAACATATTGCACACCTGGCCGGGAAGCGCCCGCGGGCCCACGGGTGGCTGTCAGGGGGCGGGGCCTGAGGCTCAGAGCAGGAGGGGAGGCGCCAGGAGCTCCCGGGAGACCAGGAAACGTGGCTGGGGGGTGTGGGACCCTCCAGCGCAGGTAGCAGCTAGTGCACACGGTGTTCACGACATCGGGGGCAGTAACGCCAGGGCTGCTGTTGGCAAGTGCCCAGGAGGAAGTCTGAGCCGGGGGCCGGCAGGGAGGCGGCGGCTGCGGGCAGAGAGCAGCCCCACAGCCCTGCTCCCCGGCCTGCACGGCTGCTGCACCATGAGGCTGGTGGCTGGCGACGGCGCCCGCAGGTGGGGTCTGCGGCTGGCAGCCCACAGCAACGAAGGGTCTGCAGGGAAACCGTCCCACGGAGGCTTGGCCTCCGGACCAAAGCCTTGCCCACACAGGTGAGCTGTGGCTCCGCGTGGTTCAGAGACCCGCTGGGGCCACAGCACCTTCGAGGACAGACCGGAAGCTATGGGCTCCCCTGGGGCAGGACACCCCCTTCACATGTCGCCTTTCCCCACCCTCACGAGGCTGCCTTTTAGCACGACACCCTTGGGGCAGCAAGACAGACCAGGAGGCTTGCCCAGTCGGTCACCCGAGCTCCCCTGAAAACACCGGAGGCCGGGACCTGGAGAGGAGCAGCGTACATGCCTCGGGCCCTCCCCACTGCTCGCAGGGCCACCCCAAAACCCCCTGGGGCACAGCCAAGCTCGGGAGCCAGGCAGGGAGCACGGCCACTGTGGGCCTCATGGGCCTCAGGAGACAGAATCCAGAAAGAAGCCCCCGCCGCTGAGTTCTGGGGTGTCTCCGACGGCCCCCCGGGGCCTGTGCCTCAGGGAGGGAGGACAGGGACCCACAGCATAGGCTCCAAGGACATCCCCAGGCTCAGGGACTGACCGTCTATGTAACAAAACTATGTGGGAGCTTGCAGCCCTGAGTTAGGGATGGAGGAGCCCGGGGCCAGCCCCGTGTTCACGCCTGTAGAGCAGAGTGTGGGGAACCCTGAAGCCTGGGAGCCCCGTCCAGCCTGGGAGCGATGGCTGGCGGCCAGACGCTGTGGCGGAGAAGGCTCCTGTGTCCCCAGCCACCTTGCTCTGCAGCTTGGGAGAGATGGGCCCGGTCGTGCCACCCCTTCTGGAACGGCAGCCATAGGTGTGAAGGCCCTTCCAGAAACACTCCTTGCCAGCCTGGCCCCAGGGAGGCACACAGAGCACGAACGCGGCCGAACTGCGACGTTTGCGGAGACAGTGGTGCTGGGAGAAGTGAGCCTTCATCGCTCGACCGTGACTTTGAAGGAAAAAGCTAAAGGAGGCTGCAAGGCACCGATCCCAGAGACAGGGGAAGCCAGGGTGGTGTGCTGGGGAGGCCGGGGGCCGTGGGCCCATGCTGTCCCGAGCTCACACCCCCACCTGAGTCCAGCAGCCAGGGAGCTGGGCACCCGGCCCTGGAAAGGCTCATGCCCAGAAGACAAGAAGCGCCAGCGACGGGGGCCTTGGCACCCACGTACACCATCCACACAGGGCTGTGAAGGCGCGGACTGGCCTGACCGTCCTGGGCAGCCCACAGGGCCTCCGGTCACAGAGCTGACCCACGAGCAGTCAGGAACCAGCACACAAGAGGGCCGCCCGCCTCCACGCAGCTCAGGTGGCACCTCGGCCCCAAGATTCGCAACCGTGCGGGGTCGATACACCTGGAACAACGCAGTGTCGTCCCTGATGCAGGGCGGAGCCAGGCGCGGGATTCCAGCACGGGGCCCTCCAGCTGGTGCGGAGAGCTCGTCCTCCAGCACCCTGACCGGGCACCTGCAGCCGCGGTCCCGCCCCGAGGGCCGTGTGCTCCGCGGGTGGGGCCCCACTGGCGAGGTTCCAGTCCCGGTTCCGAGCCCCCCCGGCCTTATTCTCCTTCCTGGGGGCACCTGACGGGCATCGCAGCGCCGCATGTGAAAACGCTAACCACCTTCAGCCCGCGTCCGCAAGTCGCTTCCCCAACCAGTGACGCTCTCACGAAGCCCCAAACAGGAGGCCCGACCCGGAGTCCCGCTGCCGACGGTGCCTTGAAGCGACCGTGGCCTCGTGTGACGCTGTACCGTGCAGCTTCTGTCCCGTGGGACCCCCGCCACCAGCTCCGTGGGGCCTCCGGCCGAGGCGACACGGCCCAGGACCGCGAGACACGCTGCCTGCACGGACGTGTGCGCCGGTGCACACTCCTCCTCGTCACGCGCACGTACAGCGCCAGGTGGTGTGTGCGCCTCAGGCCCCGGCACTTACCGTCGTCCAGGTACAGCTGGTCCAAGTCCTGAGGCTCTCGCTTGACCATTACGGGAATGGGGGCCAGACTACGACTACCGTCCTCACGCACCTCGGGCGGCGGCAGAGGCCGGGGGGCTGTGGACTCACTCCTCGGAGCCTTCGGCCGTTGGGGCAGCTGGTGGCCTGTCGCGGACGGGCGGGCGGGGCCGCAGGGCTGTAAACAGGTCGGCTCTTGGGTACCGGGCGGTGGCGAGGAGCAGGGGCTGTCAGGACACGGAGCTGGCCGGCGGCCTGGGGGACAGCCGACGCTGAGCTGGGGACTCACCTGGGGTCGCAGCAGGGCGGGGGGCGGCGGCTGGGGGGGCCCGGGGTGCACGCCCACGAGTCTCGGCGTCTCCTCAACGGCGAGGACCCCTCCGGCCGGCCGCAGAAGTCCGAGGCCCGGGCCGGCCACGCCCTTGCTGTAGGTGGCGGCAGAGAGGTCATGGAGCTTGGGGCTGGTGCTGGGGGGCGCAGACAGCATGGTGCTCCTCGGGGGGCAGGGCAGAAAGCCGGGCGGCGGGCAGGAGGCCGGTGGCTGGCTGCAGCAGGGCTTAGGGAAAGGGCTGGGGCCCTGGCTCGCTGGTCCGCAGGTCGGGGCAGGCTCGTAGTCGTCGGCGGGCTCTGTCTTGATGGCTGGAGCTATAAGAAGCCAAACAGGGAATGAACACGGGCTGCGGATGGGCGTGATGGACGGGCGGGCTGCGGCGGGGACACCCCCAGAAAACAGACAGCGTCTTGACTGAGTCCCCGCATGTCCGCCTGGGTCTCCCACCCAATTAGGAGGAGGCGTGAGTCACCGTCTCCAGGAAGCAGCAGCTGGTTCTAATACTGAGAACACTGTTGTTCTTGGAACCCCCCAGCACTCATGTGCTATAAAATCCCATTCGCAAACTGCAGTAGAAGCTCCGGACCCAAGGGCCCACAGATTCGTAGGAATGAAAGCAAAAATGTTAACTTGGATGTACAACTGCGTTCCTCCCTCTACTGACGCCCCGAGGAACGTCTGCACGCTCGGTGATCCCGCACACGCGCTGGGATGGCACAGGGCATCCGTGAAACCCAAGAGAAACTGTGTGTGGCGATCACGGTTGGGGAACACACCCTCCCAGGCTCCACGTCGCAGCGACAGGCCGTCCCAGCCATGCAGCCCCACACAGCTCTGGGGTCCTCCTGTCCCACCCTCGCCAGGAATCGGGGCCATGAGGCCGACAGCCGCGGGGGGCCTGTCCGACTCTGCGCCGGGCCTCTGCTTCTAGGGAACTCCGGTCAGAACACAGGCAGGCGTGCTGAGGGGTGTTTGCAGGGCCCATGGTCTCCCCAGACGGCCCTCCTGGCCCCGCGCACTCTCTGGGCCCCATCTGCTTGCCACGGTGCCCAGCAAAGGGGGCCCCATGCCAGGCACCCGCGCTGAAGGCCTCGTGGGTACCTCCCGCCCCGCATCCACCTCTCCGTGGTGTAGACGGATGCGTGGCAGCCTGGGGGCCTCGTACATGGGGCCCCAACCTTCACCTGAAACAGAGCAGAGCACAGCGACATCATAAGCGCAGCCAGAGCCACGTCAAGGACGGGGCATGTCCTACCCAGATGCGTGTGGCTCCGGCATCCCCTCACCTCCCGCTCGAGGGTGCCACCCACGCTCCATGAGCAGCAGCTCCCAGGGGTGTGACTGCCTCATGTCCTAGCGTCCAGCTCCTGGGGCTCTCCACGGCATCGCTCTCCTTTGCTTTCCTTCTTGGGGACAGGTGAGCCCCACAGGGAGCAGCACAGTTAGGTGGGTCTTCACGCCAGGCCCCCGTGGGGCACGGGGCTGGTCAGCATCCCCGCGTGGCCCCCGCTGTGTCCGCTGTCAGGAGGGGTCAGGGCACCCACATCACTTTCCCGCCCCTTCACTGAGAAAGGGGTTTCTCTCTCTTTCCTGGAACTGGGGGTCAGGGCTCTGGCTGAGAGCGAGCCCCAGCAGAGGAGTGTCTAGAGAAAAGGCCCACTGGTTGCAGAAGGGACCTGAGAAGAGCTGGCTCTTCCCCGCGTGCCGTTTTGTCACCGTGCGTCTATCATGCGTGCCCTGGGTTGGCTGACAGGTCCCCGGGAGAAGCCGGAGCCACTGAGGGCCCAAGCGCATGTCCAGAGGAACCTGCCTCGCTCCTTATGGAGGCCACAGTGTCCCCTGGCCCCAGCAGACGGTGTGCAGCTGGCTCGGGGCAGCAGGGCATCGGGGACCACGGAGACCCCCAGGCTGGTTCACACCTGGGACACAGCGTGTCCCTGGGCAATGGTGTTCCCATGCAGAAACACTGTGGCTGTGTCAGGTCACCCCTCAGGAAGCCCCCGTGCCCAAGGGACTTTCTCCCCACTTACGAGCCACCAGCAGAGACCACCACTGGCCCTGAAGCTACTGAGCCCTCCGCCCCTCCCCCCAGGCCATGGCCTCCAGCTGGGCAGCCCCCTCGGAGAGGCCGGGCAGCGCAGCCTGACGCTCCCCTACCCCAGAGCTCCGTGTCCACAGACCAGCGGGATAGACAGCTGGACCCCAGGGCTACTGGCACAGAGGGGGTGTCGCCACGCTGAGCGGAGCACAGAGCTGGGCTCTGCTCATCTTACGTGGAGAGAGGGAGCTGTGCGGCAGCTGGACATGTCACCCAGCAGGGGGACCGTCCCGCCCGCTTCCAGTATGTTGACAATCCAGAAATGGCAGAGGGGACAAAGTCAGCCCGAGACGCAGACTTCACCTTCTGACATGGCCCCGAGGACGCCGACCCCATGAGACGCCAGGGCGAACAGAAGGGCGGAGGTTGACTTCTACACCAGTTTGGTACTTCTCAGAGTTCGTGATGTCAGGAGTACTACGTACGTCTGGCGGATTAAACTGAAACCCTTCTGGGACTCGGGCTTTGCTGCGCTGATTTCCACCACACACGGGGGCCAACTTGTCTCTCCCATAAGGTGTCCCGAGCTCCTTATAAACTCCCACCGTCTCCACTGGGAAACAGCAGCATGCGTGACCCCCCTGCCGCGGAGGGACAGCACGCAGCCAGCGGCCGGGACCGGAGGCGGGTCGGAGGCCGCCTGCGCTCAGTGGCAGGAGCCAGCAGGCGTTGGCCCCCTTGTGCACGACCAGCGGCCTCTGTCGTTGTCACCAGCTTAAGGCTGCCCGGTGGCACCGGCGACAAGTGGCCCGCCACCGGGCTCCCTGAGACCGCTCCTGGGAGAGTCCCCGCAGCGCCGTCTTGCAGGGCCTCCGTGTGGGCCCACGCCCACCGCCGCCAGGGGACACAGGATGCGTATCACCTCTGACGGCCGGCGTGGGGGCACAGGGCAGGGTCACGGCAGGGCCGACGCGGTGAGGCCAGACCCCACCCGGCACAGCGCTCCGGGTACCACCAGGCTGGGCCTTCTCTGAACAGACGTGCTCCCTCCCTGTGTTTGTAGCCGCTGCCGCCTGCCGGGGTGGGCCTGACCTCTGCCTGCGGCCCCGGGACAGGTGCCTTCAGGGGGAGACATGCGGGGGCCCTTAACTGACACGGTGATCCTTCTGCAGCTCGGGGGGACCCCAGGCCGACGGGTCTTGAGGAGCAGTGCAGGCTGACCCCAGTGACTCCGGGCTGGGTGGTGGGTCGCAGGACGAGCCCGCTGACCGCAGGCCAAGGGCAGCAGACACAGGAGCCCCAGGGCCCCAGGGACATGGCACAGCCTGGAAAACAGCGCCTGCTGCCCCTGTGGCTCCCACAGAAGCTCAAGGGCACGGACACGTGGCATCTAAATTGCATTTCTCATGTGGACGCAAGGGAAACGAGCCGGGGGAAGACGCCTCCTGTTTCCTATTAGGGGGGGACGAGCGAGGCCGCGTCCTGCGCGGGGGCCTGGGGCGGTGCAGGAGGCTGCTAGCGGCCTCGTCCGCGGCCCAGAGCCACTTCCTTCCAGACCGGCGCTGGGTGTGACGCAATGTCTGGTTCCCTCCCGGCGTCCACCTCGCTGGCCGGGGCGGGAGGGCTGGTGACAGGAGGCCCCGCCACTGCGCCAGCCGCGAGCTTACGATCCAGATTTACTGCGGCACGCGAACGTGTGAGGGATTAATGCTAATCTTGAGGACGGCTGCCGCGTACAAAGCCTGTTCTCATGGAAAAGGTGCGGTGCCCTCCGGGCGGAGCTGGCGTTCACACCCTGCAGGGCTCGGGTAGCACAGCGGCTGCGTCCCGTGGAGACAGCATGTGTGCAGGAGACCAGGGAGATGTCCCCTCGGCTCCCAAAGCTACGTGCCCCGTCCTCAGTCAAGGGGCAGCCGCTTCAGGCAGGGGCCTTGTCCCTGAGAAGGGACCGCAGGCCCCAGAGCCAGGCGGCAGCACCTTCTCTCCTGGGCCACGGGCGGACAAAGCATCCAGCAGCAGATGCAGGGCACGGCAGGTGGGACAAGCCTCTCCCCAGGGGCCCCACGCCACCCGGAGCACCCACAAAGGCTGGCTGTGGGCCAGAGAGCATTCTAGAACAGCCCAGCCAACCTCGAGGAAGCCCCACGTCGGCGCTTGGGCTCCGTCCCGCACAGCAGGGACTCCCATTCCCGCAAGCACGGCAGAGCCCTTCCCAAGAGGCCCAGCTGGGGTCGGGGGGCTCACGGCGGGAGCAGCCCCTTTCCAAATCGCACGGACTTGGGCTCAGGGGCTCCCAGGACAACCAGCCTCCAGGGTCACAGCCGCCTGGTTACACAGGGATGCCACACACGTGCTGAATGTCCACCATTGGCTGCTTCCACAGGTGAGTGGGATGGAGACAGCCAGGGGCCCCAGGCTGATGGCGACGCACCCCCAGGCCAGTAGTGGGACCCGGGAGCAGGGCCTTGACCCCTCAGGGCCCTGCCTGGATGCACACAGCAGTGGCGGCCAGGACTAGCTCCCACAGGCGGCCTGGAGGGACGTGACGGGATTCCTGCGGGGCAGCGCTCAGACTGCCCCAAGGCCTACTGGACCGCCATTCCCAAGCACGCAGGGGGACACCATCCCCTCTTACACGTATCCATCCCTCCCGTGTGCTCCCTGTGTCCTGCCTGTCGTCGGGCGCAACCTGTCTTCTAGCTGAAGGGCCAAGTTGAGCAATTCACTCTCAACGTAATGTTTGGGCCGACGCACCAGCCCAGGGACCGCTGGAGGTGAGGGGAGACAGACGTTCTTCACGCTCGTAAGGGAGACGTCCGGGGACTGGGCCGCACTGAGCACCAACACCTCACGCACCCGCTCTTTTCTCCAGAAAATCACGATGGCACCCAGCAGACACAGAATGCCGAGCTGTTCCGCGCGTCCGTGATCTCGTGCCCAGCACCCGGCGCGGAGCCCAGAGCTAATAACACAGGAGCACACGACTGAGGGGTTCTCCAGCTCCGGAGCCGCGTGAACAACAAGGACACACTTCCACCTGCGTCTTTTCTTTCACACGTTCCCTCTCAAGCGTGCCGTGTCCTGCACACACAGACGGGCCGCGGCCACAGCTAGGGATGAGAAGTCCGTCCCTTGGGGACGGTCACCAGTCCGTCACCCCGAGCGTTCTGCCCAGAGGCCCAGTCCTGTAGGGAGCCACAGACTGCAGGGCCCTGAGGCCGTGGAACCCCGTGGGCCTGTGTCCCTGGCCCCACGACAGACTCTCATCTACCCAGC